TTATTACACAAACTGTCGTATCGTCAACAACCGCTTGTAAATGTAATGTATGATGCAGAACAGTGAATGAAAGAAATCATGGAAGCGCCACAGCTTGGCGCCCTGGAAAATAGCCAATATAGTCTGATCAGCCAAATCAGTTTCGAACATTCAAAAAATAGTTCAAAAAATAGTTCTATAGAAAAGTTGGTCGACAAATGGACACAAATCAGACGTCGGAGAATTGTGCTTTCATAGCTCATATAGTCGTATGGTCGTCTTGGCTACTTTCCCCCCTACTGTAACTGTCTCGTAACGAGGCATAGTTTGAAATTTGAAGGCGTTAGCTGTCTAATATTTCATTGAAAGCTTATGATTTGAATATGTTTATTCACTCACATTGATCAAACTTGTTTTTATAAGCTGAGTTCAAATAATCTGTAACAACTGTGCAGTAATTAGTTTGGGGTAAAGATGTTAAAATCATTGAAATATTATATTCTTAAAAATGCTGTTTGCAATTTTACAGGAATCTTAATTCACCTGGCACTCCCCTCCCCACCACACCCCCCACAAGCATTCAGTTTCTTCTTCGCGAAAGTGACGTTGTTCAAACTCAAAACTTGGTCAAAATGTTCCCCAAAAAGTTGGTCAAAATTTGAGGACTTTCCCCCTCCAATGTTCATGCCTTCGCGACGTCCCTGCTGCTAGGATATGGAACTGAAACCAAGGGATATCGTTTTTATGATCCTCAGAATTCAAGAGTTATATAAAGTCGGGTTGTTAAATTCAATGAAAGTGAATTTAGAATTGAGAAGGAGTTGCCAGGGAATGAATTTTAGGCTGATAAACATGTAACTCTCAAACTGTCAAATGACAATGATGTAGTTGTTGAGGATGATCAAGCAGATGCAGAAATTAACGAGCGCCAACCAGTGCGAGAAAGGCGTGCACCTGACCGTTTTGGCGAATGGGTAACTATCGCAAGCACAGATGTTGTTGAGCCAACAACAGTAAGTGAAGCATTGTGTGGTCCAAATGCAGAACGGTGGCATGAAGCCACGCAGCAAGAAATGGATTCGCTACAATAGCATGATGTACGGGAACTGCCGAAAGATCAGAAAGCAGTTGGGTGTAAATGGGTATTTAAAGTAAAACACAATGCTGATGGTTCAATTGAGAGACATAAAGCTAGACTTGTTGCTCAATGTTTTTCGCAAAGATATGGGGTGGATTACGATGAAACATTCTCCCCAGTAGTGCGTTTTGAATCGATACGGACTGTTATTGCGTTGTCTGTTCAAAAAGGATTAAAGTTGCATCAGGTGGATGTAACCGCTGCTTTTCTAAATGGAGAATTAGAAGATGAAGTGTATGTGAAACAGTCTGAAGGTTTGGAAGTTAAAGGGAAGCAAACATCCGGTTTGTAAGCTAAACAAGAGCCTGTATGGGTTAAAGCAATCTTCCACATGTTGGAATTCTGTATTGGATGAGCATTTAAAATCGATCGGTTTTACTCAAACGGAAAGTTGTCCCTGTATTTACGCGAAAGAAGAGGACGGTGATATTTTTATTGTTGCTATTCACGTTGATGATATCATCCTTGCAGGTAAAACTGATGAGAAAATTGCCAAAGTCAAAGAAAGCATTGCAGAAAGATTCCAAGTAAAAGATATGGGTGAGCTCCAATATATTCTTGGTCTACAAGTGATTCAAGAGGATGGTAAGGTGTGGATTGGTCAGCCTACCTACACGGCGAGCATCATAAAGAAGTATGATATGGAAAATTGTAAGCCAGTTGAAACTCATGTTAATTTAAGTTCAAAGCTTGTTAGTGCTATGGAAGACAGTGAACTGTTCAACAAAGAAGAGTATCAGTCAGCAGTTGTGAGTTTGTTGTATTTATCATCGGCAACACGACCTGACATAACATTTGCAGTTAACAATGTTGCTAAGTTCTCTGCAAATCCCACGAATGAACATTGGACTGCTGTAAAACGAATTTTCCGATACCTGAAAGGAACTGTGAACTATGGACTACTTTACTCAGAGAATGCTAGTCCAGATTGTGTTGGATTTTCAGATGCGGACTGGGCAGGTGATTTAAATGACCGGAAATCAACTTCTGGTTATAGATTTCAAATAAATGGTGCTGCTGTTAGCTGGCGAAGCAAAAAAAAAACTTGTGTAGCATTATCAACAGCTGAAGCTGAATACGTTGCATTTTCCGCAGCTGCTCAAGAGGCATTGTGGATGGGACAATTGTTGACAGATCTTAATGTAAACATTGATGAACCAGTGACCATTTACGAGGGCAATCAGTCAGCTATTGCTATGTCCAAGAACCTACAATTTCATGGACGATCTAAACATATAGACATCAAATATCATTTTGTACGAGATCAAGTAGAAAAGAAAACATTAACTGTTCTTTACTGTCCAACAGGTAGCATGTTAGCTGATTTATTCACGAAGGGTATTGCAAAGGAACAATTTAAGAAACTGCGTGAACTAACAGGTGTCGCAATAAAACCTAAGTAGGTAGATAAACATTCGAACTGCGAATGAGAAGGAGTGTTGAATTAGTTGATATTACGTCATGCATTCTGATTCGAACGTTTGGTGTATTTAGTGCCTCGTGTAATTGTACGTTGCAGTTTTTTTTCAAGTTGTATCTCGATATATTTTACTCATTAAATGTTCATATTTTATCACAAAAATGTGACTTTTCGAATAAATATTCAAATCCAATACTCTGCTATACATTTCGATAAAACATTCGCCATGTGAGGGACTCGCCCTTATTTTGGGACAAACCCCAATGTCATACCATTCGGCCACCAAGGCATTACAGTTTCCTTGACATTACAGTTTCCCTTCCATTGGGATACACTTAGTTATGCAATTTTTTTGTTCTGTTCGCCGAATCCCTTAATTACCTACACGCCTCCTAATGACTTAGCAACGCATAGCAACTCAACATTTGCAAAGTTTAAAACATGTTTATTGATACAAATAACAGACAATGGTGTCAAAAAATATTACAACTAAAACTGTTTGTTAAACTGTTCTACAAGTTTTTTCTCCAAGAAACCTTGATAAGCAATTTTACGATCGGCCACAAAACTTCTAAATCGTTCACCCGTCGCCTTCACAGAATACATGTAACTCGACGGGAAAGAGAAAAATAGGTACGCTAGGCGTACATGTATCTGCGAAAAACTGGACTCACTTTTTGTATGTATTTTCGTGAAAGGAACTGGATAATGAAGACCACATGGGGCAATTGAAATATTTCATCACTTATTATAATTATAATAGCAAATGAAGTTCTAAAGTCAAACAAGCAGGGCTAACTGCCCCCCTCCCCCCGAGGAAATTTAACTATAAATTTTGTAATGTGATTATGATTGTAACGGATTATTATGCAGTCAGAAAATAAAAATTTCATGCACACAATACTACACTGGCATAAAATAAAATATTTTTAAATTTATATCACGAGTATATAGTATATATTGTAGACTGTACAGTTTCTGAAGGTTTACAATTGAGAATAGATGTTTAATTAATGTTAGATTCTAGTCTTGAATCTGTGTGAGTATTGATCTGGTTTTCATAGTGAATTTTTCAGCTGCTATAAATTCCAGTTGCAGTGGTGTTTCAATAACTGTAACAAAGGTTTCCTTAGGTCAACTAAGTTGTGATGTCACAGATATAGCTTGACAATCTTCTTTATTAGCCATATAATGTCAATATACAACACATTTTAGATGCCATGTAGTCAGGATAGCAGATGTTGTCACTTGTCAATCCATACACATAGAATTTCCAAAACTTTATTGTAATCATATGAAGCAAAAGTTCTGTCACTTGTTAATTACACTTGCCAATGGTAACTGTTGAGTAACATACACAAACTGTTTGAGGAACATGGAAGACCACTGATCAGTATGGAATGTTTTGAAGGTCACGAGTGAAGTGTATAATTCCATTCCAGTCCTGTGCATAGTTAATGATATAGCACACTGTTCCGTATAATTTTAACACAGCATATCCACACAAAAGCAATTTGTGTTTTGGGAGAAAATCTGTTTGAGTACGTACAAGTTTGGTTTTGTACATTGTATTTGTATGCCATTGATCAGATCCATCCATATGATTATTGTAGTTGTTAAGTAATTTTTGTATAGCCATATATACTAATGAATTTTGGTGAAATTGTCTTGCAAGTGGGTTGTTCTGATGGAAGTATTCAACAAATATATCCAGTACATTTATTGGTCATTGTTGTATTAATCTCTATAAACAAAACATTTATGTTAGAAAGCAAAATGGTGAGTGGATGGTGGGTGGGAGGGGGGAGAAGTTTAAAAAAAACTTGCTTATCTGGTGATTCTGTTGTTAGCATTTAAAAATTAGTAAATTTTGTTTAACTCTAATGTGTATAAAACCAAAATGTGTAAGTATTTAAGTGAATTGTGTCCAGTGACTCTAATGTCCCAATATAGAAATATCAACATAATATAATCATAACATTTCTAAGTTTGCTTTAATGAAAACAATTATTAAGGCACAAACTGCTTTATGATCTGAGAAATAAGTTTGTAAAATGTGTGAACTAACTTGCGACTCTGGTAGATTTGTATAAATATGATATATTAATGTCCTATTGTCTGTAGTGACATTAGACCCCAATTGCATATAGTTATGATCATTAATAAAAACTCTATCTAAAGGCCTTCTATTGGCTTCATCCAACCAATTGATATTAAAATCACCTATGAAAATGTTAAATTGGGAATTACAAAACCTCAAAACTTCATGTAATGCTGCACACAATTGTTTCACTGGAATTCTGGGTGATCGATATATACCAAATATAGTAACATGTGGAAGAATCATTGCTTTCATAATGCATAATGCATAATGCATAACGTATGTGTATATGTGGTATTGATATGTGGTATTGCATAATGTATATGTGGTATTGATCTTCTAGTGTTGAAATGTACAACAATTTATTGTTCAGTGCCACCTTGCGAACGGTGAATTGTCGTAGCGGCAGCGGGTCTAAGTGGAATCTGTTTTCTAACAACTTGTGCAGTTTGGTTTCTACCCACAGCAAACTGAGTTGTGATTGGCTTTATTGGAGTCCATGTGGACTCAATACCTTGGACATAAAGGTGTCTATTTCCATGTCTGCTCTTCTCTCCAACATCTGAATAGTCAAATTGGACCCATATTATACCGGATGGTTTATCTATTTGATTCAATTGTATCTTTTTAACAACATTACCAGCACCATTAGTCATGCCATCATCAGTACGTACGTACATTCAATGCTATCTCAGTTCTTTCCCCCACTGACAATTGAAGGTTGGAAGCGATTTGCTTCGTTTTCCTAGGATCATTTGGTATTTGCCTCAAAATTTTATCTGGAAGTTGAGCAGAGTTAGCTCCTATAACAGTGGTGTTTTGCTTTGAATGAAAACTTTTCACCAGTTCCTGAATTATGCACTCTTTCATTAAATTCATTTACCTTCTGATTTTGTATGAACAAGTGAGGCACATCCATGGGATCTTGGATGCTATTTTCTTTTATGAAGCTTTCTTTTAGTTTCAAAATATCATCCTTAGTATGTTTTCCTTCCCTAAGTCAGCTTAATATTTCAGCAAAAGCTTTGCTGTCGCTTTGGCGCATAATTTCTTCCAATTCAAACATATTGAAGTTATCCTGCCATTTATTAGGAGCAAGAACAGCATATTTTGAATTGTCTAGATTCTCAAATATATACCTGTCCATTACAGGTTCCAGCTGAAATAAATCACCGATAACAACCATGCTTACACCACCAAAATAATCTTTACTTCCTTTAATATATTTCAGTCTATTATTTATTTGAAAATTGAACATTGTACTACCAACCATCGAGATCTCATCCAAAAATATTAGTTTTAAACCACCAAGTTGACACCGTAATGTGTTTAACCTGCTTGAATCCAGATGTTTGTAATTCTTTAAAGATGGACATGCAGGTATTGAAAGAGCACTATGCATTGTGTTACCTTCGATATTGTAAGCTGCTTTACCAGTTGGTGCAAGCATTAATATTTTCACTTGATGGAAATCATCACCTGCTCTAGTATTATGATACTTTAATGCTGCTTGATAAAGACACTTAGTGAGATGTGACTTGCCAACGCCAGCCCCTCCACTAAAAAACAGTAGAATGGATTGTCAGAAGTTTTAATAAGATGTAAAACATGGAAGAAAAATTATTTTTGTTTTCTATTTAATTTTTTAACCATTCCTCTGTAAACATCATCCTGTTCTTTATGCAATATCAGCTGCTCAGCATTAGATGCAGCTGAAGGAATTCCAAGATCACCAGATAGGTCATAGGTTTCATTGAATTCTGGATGAAGGTCTTTTTCACCTTCATATTCATCTTGACGCTCACTGATTTGTGTTCCTGGGGCAACCAGGTCATAGTTCTCATTACTATTTTCCACATTATTAAGCTGGTCTGGATCGCATTCAGGTCTTCACTGCACATAGCATAGCATAACATTTCATTTGCTCATCTACTGTATTTAACTTGAAAATAGTGTTCTTGGTAAGAAGCACAATTTCCTAATAAATAAGTTACTTCATCCCTCCATGAAGTGAATAACATGATTAGTTCACGGTAATTCTTTTCAGAATCAACTTCCTTGTTAAAACAGACACTTCGAATAATTATAGCTTTAGATATTTTTTTATTCTTCTGTTCGCTTTCTTCTTCCTCATTATTATCATCATTATCACACAAGTTTGTCTCAAGTGGATAATTATCAATATCTAATTTACGTGATCGATTGATATATGCATTACCAGTGGAGTCGTACCATCCATCTGCAAGGGACACATTTTCAAGTTTGGCTGGTCGTTTTATTGCAACGCTTTATTAGTCCAGATGCATAAATTTCATCTGAATCATCTTCCAAATCATTAATTTCTTGCAATGGTTTTAGTAACTGAACTCTACCCTCAGGGGGTAAAGTATTTATAAATACAACTTGAAGAGAAGATTTCCTCATTGGAAGTTGAAGTACTATATAGACTGCTTCTTGTGAACTTATTCACCATTGTTCAAAAAGCTATTTCCAATATCTCTCACTTGTTGTTTAATACTGGAGTTTCCCCTTTTTGCTTCTTCACAAGCTCTTCCCAATAGCTCACTCATGCCTTTTTGAGCCTTGGATATATATATATATATATATATATAATTATATATATATATATATATATATATATATATATATATATATATATATATATATATATATATATATGATACAGTGTATATTGCACATGCATATACATCTAGTACAAACTGAATATCCATATTTGCACGCCATGGCACTGAGACATGCAGCATTATAATTATTGATCCTTAGTTCGTTCGGTTTCCTTTTTAAGAATATAGTTCGAACGTAGGAGCATTTTCTAGGCATATTAATAAGGTGAATATGAGTTGATCCTCTTTGTTGGTATTAAACCCTATAGAACCAGTCTGCAATATTTCCTAGAGATGCAGCACTA